GTTAAACAAAAAATTAAAACTTACCAAAATAAATATGTGTGATTGTAAAGAACGAAATAGTTTTATTTTCGTCAACTAATAAAAAACAAAAATACATAAAATAGGTGTATAAATAATGTAAAACAAAATGGTATTATACTTTTGCGTGTATAGGAATAACACAATAACTTGCTCGATCTCTTCTTGAAATTTCAGTTTATTGTCTGCAAGCCCAGTCATGACATTTATGGGTAACTACAAGCTAAGTAAAATTAAAGAATTTTGTCATGCATCTAAATACGGTATAACACATCAAAGAAATTATTAAATGAGATGGTTAAAACAATTATATTCCATCTTACTTATATTAATTATTACACAATTTAACATGCAAAATCAAAAGTCACGTATTAAGTGAAAACGTTGACTGATGAATTGAAATTAATAGTCACCAAGATGATCTAAAGTGGTCAAGTAATACTTTACTTCTATTCTAATGTAATAGTCCTGGGCTCCTAGCAAATACATAATAATACTACTAACCATAAAAATTAAAGTTGGGGGGGGGGGGGGGGGGGGGGGCAGGGACGGATCCAGGATTTCTATTCAAGGGGGGCGAAATTTTTCGGTAGTGTAGGGGGTGAAAATTTTTTCGTTAGTGTAGTGGGGCGAAATTTTTTCCCTAGTGTAGCGGGGCGAATTTTTTCCGCTACTGTAGGGCTATGCGGCTAATTTTATTCAAAAAATGACATTAATACATACATATCCCCAACGACATTTAAATCTATTAAGTAGTACATTCTAAGTTTAAATTAGACGATGACAAAGATATCAACCAATACATTTTTAATAACTTCTACATTGTTTAACCTCATGAATCGGTTATTATTGAATTGTAATTTTTGTCCGGCCACCAAGGAGGGTGTTCGTGAGTCATGACTCATGAGAAGTTTTCTTAATATTACAATAGTAGTATGTATGATATTATTATTTTTAGAATAATATGCACCACATACACACACACATATATGGTGCTTATTATATTTTAATATTTGTATTAATGCTATAATAATTTAAAGTTTATTATCTATGCAATAAATTATTTTTAGAAAGCAAGAAGTAAATGAATTATGTAATTTAATGTCAATAAACATTTATATTTTGGATTCATTTCACGTGATCTAAAAACTGTGTAATTAGTGTGTATGATATTTAATATTGTTTGATATATATTTTACAAAATCAAGTACTTGTTATCTAATAAAGATATTTAAACACTACAAAACTAGGAATTCTTATATAATAAGTATCCTAAATCTTAAACAACGAGTTATTCTATTGTTTATTTGTTTAAGTTATGTAATTATTTTAGATGTTCCTTCTTTTAAATCTTCAATTAAGTATTACATTATGTAACACTATATATTAATTTTGAAAATTAAAAGATAAGGGGGGCGAATCTAATTAAATTATGAAAGTTTTATGAAAATATTACATATATGGTAGAAAATTTTGAAAGTCCAAGGGGGGCGGTCGCCCCCCCGCGCCCCCCCCTAAATCCATCCCTGGGGGGGCAATGGCCCCCTTGCTATTATACATACCTCCTTCCCTTGGAATACGAATGTCATCATGAAATAGTTTGTTAGATAAAAATAAGATAAGTATTCCAAATAAAATGACCCTATAAATATTCATCTTTTGTAGTGAACGGGTAACGGGATTTTCTTTCAAAGTTTCTCGCAAAGGTTGATTCCTGAGTGGTATATTAGTATATAGTGACGTGTAATAATTAAACCGAGCGACTTTACACAATGTGATTATTGGAAACGTGATAAAAGAAATATTTTGATGGATCTCATTAATTTAGGGTCCCAAAAAAAAATATATGATTGAATTCTATAAAACATGAATATTATTTGGAGAAAGGGACAAAGGTTTATTGATGGAACAACTTACACATTTGAATTATATTTTACTTAAGTACTATGAGCCATAGTTGTAATTTGTAAAGATGGTAAAGTGGCGTATTAATAAGGTGGTGTATTAGTAAAGTGATTTTTTTGTCCCAGTTATAATTAAATAAATATTCCATTATTAACTATGTAGTCTTACACTCTTACTCACTCCGTCTCATAAAGAAATTTCCATTTCGATATATGATATTCGATTCGTGATGAAGTTAAGTGATCCATGACAAGTGTCAACAATAAGATTATTTATAAATATGTTTTACTTACTTTGAAATTATATTTAAGTTCTATGTATGTCACAATTCTGGTCTTTTTTTTATAAATACTCAATATATAGAGTAATTAAAACGTTATGAGTAATTTAAGTTGACTAAATCAATAGTGAATGCGAACTTCATTTTGGTAGAGGTAAATGTGACACGATTATGAAGTATTTTCTAGTATCACGTAAAAAGAGTTAAAATATTATTTCAAATGTACATGTTTGCTTGGGCAGCGTTTGGAAGAACATATTACGTTAAGATTAAGAAACCACTTAATTTGTTTGTATATTTTGGTGTTAGCATTTGGATTTCTAGTAAAATAAAATGCCCTTTCAAAAAAATGCAGATCGACTCAGATCAAGTTGGACTAGTGATCTGAAAGTTTGATCTATTTTTATTTAGAAGCCTAGTCAAGCTTAGGAAGTCGGTTGATCCAAAATGATAGGATATGGTGCTAATTAAGCGTGCAGGATCATGGCTAGCCAATTCTTACCTTGAACTTAGTGGTGGACCGGTTCCGGGGCCGACCGGCCCGGCCCGGTGGCCCCGACCAGAGACTGGCCCGGGTAGGCCCGGCCCAGGGGTTACACAGGGCGGGCTCGGGTCACCCAAAATAGGAACCGGCCCGGTTCAGGCCTATTCTTTTTTTTCTCAATTTTTTTTTTTATTTTTCCCGGATGGGGCTAGGTGATTTTTTTTGGGGGGGGTTGGGGTGGGGGGTGGGGGGGGTCGGGGGTTAAGCACTACAAAAAAACATCGTTATAGTCACGGATTTTAGTCACGGATTTGGTCCGTGACTAGTTTAGTCACGGTCTAGTCACGGACTAGTCACGGATATTTAAAAAAAAAAATAGTCACGGTCCAGACCGTGACTATGACCGTGACTAATGTTAGTCACGGTCTGGGCCCGTGACTTAAGTCCTCCGATTGGCCCGTTTCCGTTTCCGGCGAAGTTTATTTCACTCCGACGACTTAGTCACGGCCAAATCCGTGACTATACCCGTGACTATAATTAAATTTTAATTTTTTCAACTCCCTTAACTTAATGCGCAACGGTATTATGTACGGATAATATTAGTCACGGCCATATCCGTGACTAGTTCCGTGACTAATTTGATTAACACGTCATTAACACGTCATTAACACGTGTTGGACGCGTATTGGACACGGTTTTGCTTAGTGACGGACAAATCCGTGACTAAGTCCGTGACTAAAGTTTTTATATATGCATGAGCAGCTCATTGAACAGAACCACAGCAATTCATTCCCAGTATATACAGTATCCGTTTGAAAGATCGAAGGATGTAGTCTATCTTCTATCATTTTTCCTGTTTATGCAGATAAGGTATGTTATTTGAATTATAATTTTTATTTAGAATTAGTTGGTTCAATTTAAATTATTAAAACTATTAAATTAGTGAGGTTGTTAATTAATTAACAACATGTTTTAACTATAAGCGTAGTAATGTCATAAATTAGAATTAGTTAAACTTTTAGGTTTATAAAATAATTTAATTAAAATTAGTTAGCTAAATGTACGTAGTTTAAAACGTAATGATGTTTATGTTTAGTGAAATTAGTTCAAATAACGTACGTTAGTAATGTGTTAATTAAGTGAATTGTGAATTGTTATTGTGAATTGTGTATTGCTTATTAATTCAAATAACTTTATATACATGTTCAAATTATTGGGTTGAATTTGGTCATATTATTTAATTTAGTGAATTGTTAATTGTGTATTACTAATAAGATTAAATGTCATTAACGTAATAATTTAGTGTAGGTTTAAACTAAACGTAGGTTTACAAAAATAATTTAATTAAAATTCGTTTGCTAAACGTAGGTTTGAACGTAGCTATTGATGTGTTAATTAAGTTAAATTAGGTAGCTAAACGTAGGTTTAAACGTAGTGATGCATTAAAAGGGGACGGAATGAACTAGTTAAATTTAGTTAAATTTAACTAAATGAATTAGTTAGATTTAATTAAACGTATGTTTAATTTAGTGAAATTATCTGCATTATTGTGCATTAGGGGACATATATTTTGTGCATTATTGTTGTGAATTCTGTGCATTTCATTTTAAAAAAGTGAAAATTAGTTGATTATATTTAGTGAAATAAATTACTTAAAATTGTGTGCATTGCATTTCATATAATTTTTTATTATAATATTCAGGCATAATGTATAAACAAAATAGAAGTTGGATGTATGATAAAGATGCGGTATTGTACGGAATGCAATCAAATTTTCTCGAGGGAGTCGGGGAATTTATTGAATTTGCACTTGAACATCCGGCTTATATGAGTGGTGATAAAATAAGATGTCCATGTTCAAAGTGTAAAAACTCAAATTTAAAGACCCACACGAAGTTGGGTATGATTTGTACGCGGTCGGTTTTGTTCCCAATTATTATAATTGGACTTCTCACGGCGAACCTTTGGATCCATCTGTTATACCACAAACGGTAGGTTCGTCTCGTTACGTCCCTCCAGAGATGAGTGCGTGGGGAGACCGTGCTGAAATGAGGTGGGACCAACAAATGGTATATGACGCATACGGTGTACCGTCTCAATTCAACCCCCCACAACCACCTAACGACCCCCCTGAAGCCTCAACCTCGTATCAACCAGATGCGGATGAAAATCCGACATTTTATCAACCTTATGTGGATGAAGGTTTGGCTGAGAGATTTCAGGATGTTCTAAAAGCTGTCGACCAACCTCTGTATGCTGATTGTGAGGGATACTCTCAGCTATCCGCTGTTACTGAGTTCATGAACATAAAAGCCGAATACAGTCTCCCTGAAACTTGCATGAATAGAGTCTTGCAGTCAGTAGGAGGGATGCTACCGCGAGATCATACCCTTCCCGATTCATATTACCACATGAAGCAGTTAATGTCTAAGTTGGGGCTACCTTGTGTTGAAATTGATGCGTGCCCGGAAGGATGTATGTTGTTCTGGAAGGAGGATGAGGCAGTTGAGTTCTGCAAGTTCTGTGGTGGAGACAGATACAAACCTGTTCGTCAAGGTAAAAAGAAACCACGACATAGGTCTGCACTGTCTAAACTGTATTACCTCCCAATAGCTCCTCGACTGCAAAGGATGTACGCTTCGACTGCTACTGCGAAACACATGACATGGCATGTTGAGCACGAAACCAACGAGGGTATGATGGCTCACCCTTCGGACTGTGAAGCCTGGAGACACTTTGACCGTTGTCATCCTCAGTTTGCTATGGAGCCACGAAATGTGCGGCTGGGATTGTGCTCAGATGGATTTGCTCCTTTTGGCAGGCTTGGCAAGAACTATTCATGTTGGCCGGTCATGTTAACACCTTACAATCTCCCTCCCGACATGTGCATGAAAAGTCATTTAATCTTTTTGTCTTTAATTTGTCCGGGTTCCAAGGATCCTGGGCGAAAGATAGACATTTATCTTCAACCCCTTATTGAGGAGATGAAAGAATTGTGGGCCGTTGGGACACCAACTTATGATGTTTCATCAGATAAAATGTTTATCATGAAAGCTGCCATCATTTGGACCATTAGCGACTTCCCTGCCTATGGCATGCTTTCGGGATGGAGCACACACGGTCTGATGGGATGTCCGATATGCATGGAGAAATCAGGTGCCAACTGGCTCAGTTACAGCAAAAAAGGAAGTTACTTTGATTGTCACCGCAAGTTTCTCCCGGAAAGGCACCGATATCGAAAGGACAAGAAGTCTTTCTTTTTTTTTTTTTTTTTTTTTTTTAGAAAAGAGAATTTTATTGATAGAAGAAAATAGTACAAGGACAAGAAGTCTTTCATTAGAGGCAGAGCGGTACGAGAGAGCCCACCCCCGAGATTGACCGGTGAAGAAATTTATAACCGGGTTCGACGTTTTCCTACGGCTATGGAAGAGCCAAACCAAGAGCCATATGGGTATTGTGATACCCATAAGTGGACAAAGAGGAGCATATTCTGGGAGTTGCCTTATTGGAAAGACCTTCTCATCCGTCACAATTTAGATGTCATGCACACCGAGAAGAACGTCTTTGACAATATATTTAACACGGTGATGGATTTGAAAGGCAAAACTAAAGACGGTCTTGCAGCTATGAAAGATATGACTATTTGGTGTGATAGACCCGAACTTTCTGTTGATCTAGAATATCAGGGCAAGGAAGTTCCAAAAGCAGTCTACCAGGTCACAGAACCACAAAAGGCAGCAATATTAAAATGGCTTGCGTCTCAGAAGTTTCCAGATGGCTACTGCTCCAACTTGTCTAGATGCGTAGACATGAACAAACTTACCACGACGACGAGCATGAAAACTCACGATGCTCATGTAATAATGCAAAGACTTCTACCAATTGCACTAAAAGAGATGCTCCCTGAACACGTATGGTCCTGCATTACTGAAATCAGTTTGTTGTTTCAATCGATATGTTCCAGCGTTTTGGATGTGGCATCCCTCCGGAGACTACAAGAGTCTGTTCCCATTCTGATGTGTAATCTGGAAAAAATAATGCCACCATCGTTTTTCGATACAATGGAACATCTCATAATACATCTTCCGTATGAGGCTTTGACTGCTGGGCCCGTCTTCTATAGGTGGATGTACAGATTTGAAAGGTTAGTCACAATTTCATTTAAAAAAATATATTTATTTCACAATAACTGTTAACATGTGTATTATTGCATTATTGCAGATTTCTAGGAGAGCTGAAAAAGAAAGTGACCAACAAGGCACACGTTGAGGCTTCAATTTGTCAAGCGTATCTTCAACAAGAAATCTCAACGTTCTCGTCTTTTTTTACTTCGAGCGTGAGGTCATCACCAGAAGGAAGAGACCTGCCCGGAACGATGACATTGGCGAGGATTTATATGAAAATGTAGTTTCCATCTTCAATTACCCAGGCAGAGGTAAAGGTGCTGCGACACAACGATACATCCTGGGTGGGGAATTGCAAATTGCGCATACGTATATCCTCATGAATTGTCCAGAAATCTCACCGTTTTATCAGTAAGTTAAATTTGTAGGTATAATTGTAATACTTATAAATTAAATTTGTAGTTAATTTATAGTTTTTTTTTATTTTTGACTTCACAGTGAATTCCGAGCTTCTTTATCAGCCTTTCCTGAGAATGAAATTGATGCGTTGGTGGACTCTGATTTTGTAAATTGGTACAAGTATCAGGTATATATACACACACATTAATTATATATATTACCTAATGTTTACCTAATGTTATTATTATGTTTATATTTACAGATCAATAGTCGTGGGATTGTCGACCCTTTGTTAGTATCATTAGCGTGGGGCCCAGGTGCCAGTGCCAAAGTGTGGCGGCAATATGTGATAAACGGTTACACATATCACACAGCCGATTACGGAGAGGGGCCGACCAACAACGAACAGCGGGTTATGTGTCCCGACCATCGGTTATGATAACTCGGAAACCAATTTTTTTGGTGTCCTGCAGGAGATTATGGAACTTGAGATGCCTTCTAGTGCGAAAAAAATGACATGCGTTCTGTTCCGCTGCACATGGGTTGATCCCACACGTGGCGTGCGAAAAAATCCGAAGTATAATATGATTGACGTCAACCACTCTCGTGTGTACCCGAAAAATGAGCCTTTCATACTCGCCCAACAAGCAGCGCAGATTTATTATGCAGAATATCCTACAACAAGGCGGACCCAGAATCCTTGGGTGTGTGCATGTCCTGTCCGTCCGAACAAAATTAAATCACAAACTCAACACAAGGACGTTGATCTAGATGCTTTTCAGCAACAATTTTTCCAACCTCCGCCTATTGTTGAGATGGTCAACTATAACGTCCAATTAAGTGATCCAAATGGCGGACGTGTTGAAGTCATGCCAGAAACGCACCTTCCGGACCTAACCATTCCATCTGAGCGCGAAATTGAGGAAATGTATGTAGCACAACAAAATGCTCAATATCATGAAGAAGGTGAATGGATAGACGGTTCAGATACAGAAGAAGACACTATATATGTAGAAAATAACGATTCTGACAGCGAGTAATTGTGCTGTTGTAATTTCAATTTTGTGATATAATTTCTCCAAGCATATTTGATAATTTCTTTCATCATTATTGTTTGTAAAATAATTACTCCTTAATCTGTTCTATACCACATAAATTCAAAGCAGTTTATTTAATACTCCACAGTCCACACTACAATTACGATGGTATTATAATATTATAATAGTAATATAAACACAATTAATATATACACAATTAATATTATTATAACGATATAATAATAATAATAATAAGAATAATAATAATTATTATTATTAATAATAATAAATCATGTCTGAATTTTTCTGAATAAAATAAGAATAAACAATAAGTAATAACTAACACAAAGACGAACAGAACCACACCTTATTCATTTTTCGGTTCAATAAGTTGTGTACATAGTTTCAGACGACACATTCTTGTACGCATCATATCTCAGTCAATTGGTTCTTTATTAGTCATTTTTTAGCATAAAATGCTTGGGTGACAGGAAAATGAAATTATAAATTAAATAGTCACGGTTGTAGTCACGGTCAGGACCGTGACTACACCCTTCGTAAATGCCGAAGTCAGGCCTGACGGTCAGAGGGGCGCTGACCACAATAGTCACGGTCATTACCGTGACTATGACCGTGACTATTTTCAAAATTTGAAAATAGTCACGGTCATAATCACGGTAATGACCGTGACTATTCCGATTAAAGGCGGCTCTGACCGCCTCGCTGACATCGTCAATTACGAAGGGTTTAGTCACGGTCCTGACCGTGACTACAACCGTGACTAAACAATTATATAAAACAAACACTTAGGAGGTGTTTACTTCACTGCTAAAGTCACAGTTAGGTTAGTAAGACAGGTGAAGTAAACACACACACTGCTTAAAAAGTCGCTTACTAACCGAAAGAGGTGCTTAAAGTGCCGCTTATTAAGCATACCACCCCCCCATGTATTAATTAAGCGGCACTTTAAGCTTTTTCAGTTTCCGAATTTACCCCTTGCCCGTAACCTATTGTTATCCCTGCCCCACCTCGACCTCGACCCTACCTACCCCGACCCCACCCTACCCTTACCCCACCTACCCTGACCCCAGGTGGGGGTCGGTTAGGTAGGGTAGGGGTGGGGGGGGTGGGGTCGGGGTGGGGAAAGGTAGGTGGGGTAAGGGTAGGGGTGGGGAAGGGTAGGTGGGGTAGGGGTGGGGTGGGGTGGGGTCGGGGTAGGTGGGGTAAGGGTAGGGGTCGGTTAGGTAGGGTAGGGGTGGGGTAGGTAGGGTGGGGGGTCGGGGTGGGGTAGGGTAGGTGGGGTAAGGGTAGGGTGGGGTCGAGGTAGGCCTACCCTTACCCCACCCTACCTCGACCCCACCCTACCCACCCCTACCCTACCTAACCGACCCCCACCCTACCCTTACCCCACCTACCCTGACCCCACCCCCACCCCACCTTACCCCACCTACCCTACCCCACCCTGACCCCACCCTACCTACCCCACCCCTACCCTACCTAACCGACCCCCACCCTACCCTTACCCCACCTACCCCGACCCCTACCCACCCCCACCCCTACCCTTACCTTACCCCACCTACCCTACCCCACCCCGACCCCCACCCTACCTACCCCACCCCTACCCTACCTAACCGACCCCCACCCTACCCTGACCCCACCCTACCTCGACCCCACCATACCCCACCTATCCTACCCCTACCCTACCTAACCGACCCCTTACCCCACCTACCCCGACCCCACCCCACCCCTACCCTACCCCACCCCACCCCACCCCTACCCTTACCCCACCTACCCTACCCCTACCCGACCCCACCTTACCCCTACCCCTACGGGCCTATGGGGGCCTATGGGGTCGGGGGTAGGGTAGGGTGGGGACAGGTTAGGGTGGGGTCGGGTAGGTAGGGTGGGGTCAGGTAGGTAGGGTAGGGGTAGGGAGTAGGGGTAGGCGGTGGGTGGGGTCGGGGTAAGGTAGGGTGGGTAAGGGGTTAGGGGTATGGGTACACATATTATATTATATACTTGTGTTCATGAATGTTTGTGTGTATATATATGTATAGGGTTATTTTGGACATTTTAATGTTAAGCGGTGTTTTAAACCGTTTGAAGTAAACACGGTCTTACAACATTGTTTATTTTATGCGCCGCTTATTAACACAGGTCTTAATAAGCACCGTTTAATAACCGGTGAAGTAAACATGTCCTTAGCGTTTTTTAAAAAAATCCTACGCACCATATCTCAAACCCTAAACCACCTCTTCCTTCTCTCTTCCTTCTCTTCCAGTTTGCTTAGTGCCGCCGCCGCCGTCGCCGCCTAGCATCTGCCGTCGCCGCCGTCGCCGCCTAGCATCCGCCGTTCCCGTCGTCTACAACCAGTAGTCCGCCGTCGTCCGCCGCCTTCCGTCGCCGCCCCTTCTTTTCTCAGTCAAGGTTATGTGTTCTTTTCATCTTATTTGTAATATTTGATTAAAATTCCAAAAATGCATGATTGTATACTCAAATCCATGATTAAGATGCATGATTTTTAGTTTCATATCATTTTGTAATCTTCAAAAGTTATATGTATGATTTATTATATGCATGAGTTGTAGTTTTGCATGTTAATTTCATTTTATATGTTTCGTATCCATGATTAATATATGTTCAATTGTAGATTATTTTATGTTTAATATATGTTCATATGCATGATTAACATATTTTCGAACTAATGCGTTTCATATAATATATTTTCGAATTAATATAATATGTTTAATATTATATGTTTCATATGCATGATATGATTTATATGTTTTGTATGCATGATAATTATGTTTAAATGATTTAAATTATTATATGTGTAATATATGTTCATATGCATGAGTAATAATATTTAATATATATGATTAGTGTGTGATATGCATGCCTCTCAATGGTTAACCCGAAATATTTAAAAAAAATTTGCCCCCTTCATGTTAAGCTTTCACAAACTTAACATGTTTAATTCTAATTTAACAAATTTTTATAAACAAATTTTATAAAAAGTATACAAATTATTTTATAAACAGTTTCGATAAACAGTTTTTATAAACAGTTTTTAAAATTTTGCAAATTTTTATAAACAGTTTCTATAAACAGTTTTTATAAACAGTTTTTATAAATATAAAAAGTAAAAATTGGATACAAAATGGTAAATAAACAGTTTTTATAAAAACTGTTTAATAAATAAAACAGTTTTGTAAAAACTGTTTTTATAAAAACAATTTTGAATGAAAATTTAGTTCACTTAAAAACTGTTTTATATAAAAACAGATTTTGTAAAAACAGTTTTTATAAAAAATGCAGTGTTTTTAAAAACTGTTTTGAATGAAAATTTAGTTTACTTAAAAACTATTATTGTAATTTAATTAAAAACTGTTTATATAAAAACTGTTTATATAAAAACTGTTTATATAAAAACTGTGTTATATAATCTGTTTTTGTAATTTAACTAAAAAAGTATAAAACTGTTATTTAGACATTATAAAAAAACGTTTTTTTTGTATAAACTTAAACTATACTGTTTTTCTAGAAAAACAGTTTGTATAAAAACTGTTTTTTATTTAAAAAGTGTATAAAAACTTTTTTTTATAAACTGTTTTTGAAAAAAAAGTATACTGTTTCTAGGAAACAGTTTGTATAAAAACTGTTTTTTATTTAAAAAGTGTATTAAAACTCTTTTTTATAAACTGTTTTTGAAAAACTGTTTATAAAAATTGTATAAAATTCATGTATCTTAAACACCAAAAAAAAGATGGCCTCTCATGTAAACTTTGCAAAAAGTTTAACATGTTACTTAGAAACTGTAAATGTGTATAAAACAGATAAAAAAATGGCCTCTCATACAAACTGATATGACTGATAAAAAAAAAAAGATGGCCTCTCATATAAATTGATATATCGAAAACATAAAAAAATGATCTCCTCTCATGTAAACTTTGTAAAAAGTTTAACATGTTACCTCCAAGTGCAATTTATTACCAAATTATTTAAGAACTTATTATGAAAAAATATGGACCCCTCATATTAAACTAAAAATAGTTTAATATGCTATACACATTTTCAATTAATAATACTTGTATAAATTTTTATAGTGAAAAATAATAAATATACCCCAAACTTTAAAATAATAAATATACCCCAAATTTTTATAGTGAAAAATAATAAACTGTGTATAAGTTTAATATGAGTGGTTCAATAATTTCTAATAAACTCATCCTATAATTTATCAATGAGTTGACCCAGTCGATCGAAGAATCGATCAGTTGGAGCTTGTCAATTAGTTGACCTAGTCAATTCTTAGATAAGCTCCAATCTGTGGATTCTTCTGGCTACGGCTTGAGTCATCGATGGACTCTCCCAAACGCATGTACTGACATTATGTCGCTACATGTGATGTAGCCCATCCATGGTTCAAGGCGTAGCCTGAAGAATCGTCAGGATGGAGTTTATCAATGAGTCGACTGGGTCAACTCATTGATGAGCTCCAACCGGTTGATTCTTCGGTCGACTGTGTCAACTCATTAATAATTATAGGATTTGTTTATTAGCAATTATTGGAACCTAATATTAAACTTATACCCAGTTTAATATGTTATATACATTGACAATAGACAATACTTACATAAAAATTTGATCTTCTATTATAAGAGTTCTAACAAAAAACAAATTAAATTAATATATTTTAGATGAGCAACGAACAATCGACCTCAGCTCCCCGCCCTAACTATGCGCCCATGTCCGAAGCGGAGCGCAACAACGAAGGAGCTGTTTGGGTGACCCCTGCAGATGTTCTTTTGTAAGTAGTTATGAAGAAACCTTATTTTCAATAATTTTATATAATGTTAAATAATCTAACCAAATCTTATATAAATAAATACTATTAATTTTTTTAAGTGACGAACAAGTGTTCAAAGGCATCAAAAGCATAATCGGAGGACACTTTCTTGGCACTTGGGCCACGCCGTCGGATGTTGACCCCAAGGTTCGCGAACTATGGTGGAACCTGTTCAAGGTAAAAATAAATGAATGTTCCCTCCCTGATTGTATTGGCCTAATATATACCTGGTGATTAATTAATCCAATTTGTTTTAATAAAGGCTCGCTATCGTTGGACTCACGCAAACGGTGCCGATATTCTTAAAGCCTACAATGCTAGGATTTCGACCTGGCTTCGCGCCACTTTTAAACGTGCGCGAAAAAGTGGGAAAAAGCCTAGATGGGTTTCGGATGAAGTGTGGTCCAACCTTTGTCGCCACTGGTCTTCTGATCCGAAATTCTTGGCTAGAAGTGAATCCGGTAAGAAAAACCGGATGTCCGAGAAGGCCTTGGAGATGCAGTGGCACGGAGGTCGTAAATCTCAGAATGCCCATAAGGAAACTCTTGTAAGTGCTATTCAAAAAACCTTACAACATCACAATCCTTCATTATAAAAAATTTACTTAAGTCTTTTTCACACCATTTAGGCTGGTCCTGAGAAGAAGAGGGTTGATGTTCTCCGGCTCGTCAAGCATTGCTGGACGAAGCACGGCGAGGAATCTGAAGCCGATTTGCCACCCCGCCTCGCTGACTTCGAAGTATGTAACATCATATTTTGTTATTTAGTAACATTTCAAATCTAAGTATGTAGCATTTAAAAAATATTTTTGAAAATGCAGACGAAGTACAATGAATCCGTTGACAGGCAGCGTGCGGCACGAGGCTTGACCCAGGAGGACGACCTCGATTCCGATGCGGATGATGAGGCGGCCATTGAGGCGGCCGGGGTTTATAAGGGCCGGGTTCCGTGCTTGGGGTCCGAGGGGCAACGGATTTTGTATGATCGAAGCACCGGTGCTTCCTCTTCTCGGTCAAGGCGGGGAGAAGATCCTCGTATTGCTACACTGCAGCGTGAACTGGAGGAGCACGAACGGCGATGGGAGGAGCAGCGGAAAGCAGATGAGGCCACAAAAGCCCGGTTGGAGGAGATGGAACGGTTCATGCGTGCCGGATTCCAGCCTCCGCCACAGCCTTTTCCTCCCCCGTACGTATTCCACCCTGAGCAAACTCCTCAAGTTCAGCACATGGGCGGTATGGGATTTTTCCCCACCTCCGGATACGGTGGCATGCCGATGATCTCCCCGAATTTCGGATCTATGTCCTTTGACTTTGCGAGGTCATCCGGAGGAGGTAGTGGCACCCCAGGTCATGGATCCCGAGGAGCACCCCGAGGAGGACCCCGAGGAGCACCCCGAGGAGGAACCCGACCTGACCCCGAAGACCCCCCCGTGAACCCAGATGAGTTTCTTGTTGATGATGATGATGATGAAGAAGAAGAAGAAGAAGAAGAAAATCCCAATTTTTATCATAATGGAGTCCCACGGGACATGTAATCATCATACATTTATTATTTGTTGTATTTCAAAACATTTAAAAGTTTGTCACAATATTTATTGAATTTGTTGTATGTCTTTACTCTTAAAATGTATTTATTTTAAAAAAAAAAATAGTATAATATTTTCAATAACTCATTTTTCAAAAAACATTTTTAAATTTAAAAATGTGTTTAAAAAAGTAATTTTTAAAAACATTTTAAAAAAAAAAACGAAAACTGGAATTTTTTTTTTTAAAAAAAAAAAAGTTGTCACGGCCTTATCCGTGACTATAATTAATCCGAAATTATTATTTTTTTTAAATAAAAAACATAATTTTTTTTTCCAAAAAAACCAATTAGTCACGGTCGACACCCGTGACTAATTTCAAAAATTTAAATTACCGCCGCGGGCGGTCTTTTAAAAATTTTGAAAATTAGAAAGATTAGTCACGGTCCAAAGCCGTGACTACTAATATTAATTTTAAAAAAAAACTTAGCCACGGCCTCTGACCGTGACTAATACGCCGGAGTGGGGTTCCGGCTAGTATAATAGTCACGGCCGCCGACCGTGACTATTCCGTGACTAAATTTAGTCACGGTTTGTTGGACGTGACTTCAATTTAGTCACGCCCGTTAAGTCACGAACTTAGTCACGGTCAGCGACCGTGACTACATCTGTTAGTCACGGAAAAATTGAACTGCTGTCCGTGACTAAGTCCGTGACTACACGCGTGTTTTTTTGTAGTGAAGTAGAAAAGCAATAAAAAAAATTGAAGAAGCCCAGGAACCGGCCCGAAGCCAAACTCAAAAAGCCCACCCAAGACCGGCCCGGGACCGGTCCATGCCTACTTGTACTACGTATACGGTATACTTGGTATAAGAAAGCATAGTCTGATTTCCAAAAGATGATACCCATTCAGTATTTCAGTGCATGCTAAAACCCCATGTACCAAAGAAAACAGACCACTTCTAAAAGAAGAAAAGAAAGATACTCCTATACACACACACATATATTATTATATTATTAATTTATACAAGTAGAGGAAGATATATATTATTATATTATTAATTTATCTTCCTCTACTTGTTTAGCTATATTTCTATTTAAACCTTGTCATTCTAAAATAAAAGCACAAGCGTATTAAATCGAAATTAACTCATTTAATAAACGAAGTTTATTATTTTGTTTAGGCACTAACAAAAAAAATTATAAAAATGAATAAAAATGTCTATAATTTTTTTTGAAAGAAAAAAGGCTAACTTATATATATTAATAAAATCATGGTTCAAGGAGGAAACAATACAATCAGGGGAACATCAATCCAAACACAACGACCAGACATAGAACCGGCCGCCTTAGCCAAATCATGGGCTGCCCGGTTCGCTGATCGTTTCACATGAGAAAACTCTATGCCAGTAATACTGGCTGATATCTCGTTAATATCATCAACAATAATACCGAAAGCTGACTTGTTTCCCTTGCTTTGAATAGCCCTTGTAAGTTGGAGTGCATCCGATTCAACATCAACATTTGACCAACCAGCCGTTTTAATCCAGCTAAGAGCTTCCCTTATTGCCAATGCCTCCGCTTCACAAGGTAAACATTCTCCCACACGGTTTATAGCATCCCCGCAAAGAATAAACCTTCCCGGTTCCTTGCTATTCATCCTAATCCAACGCTTCCCGTCCCATTTTTAATAGCTGCATCGGTATTCACTTTAATTCGACCTTCCGCAGGTTGCAACCAGTTTGTCGGGGACTTAAGTTGCTGCTGCAATACCCCTGTCCGTTGTTGAGCTCGCTGCCACCCGTCCAGAAATGCCAAAGCTCCTGCAATAATGCTTCCTGGTGGTGTATAAACTTGCTTCCAGGTTCTATCACATCTTGCTCTCCACAAACCCCATAAAAGCATGATGAAAGTGCTGCAAAACTCATCATCATGGCTGGAAAAAATAGATTCTATCCAGTTATCCAGTCCACAAAATTGGAGTCTGCTGTAAAAGAAAAGCTCCACTTCATCAACTTCCAAACCTGTTGAGCTACTGAACATAATCTATATTTAAGTTGATATGTAAATGTATGTGTGCGTTGTGTGTGAATTACATATAGGTCCAAATAAAGTGTCACTTCATGCAAATGGAAATAACTCTTCATTGGATTTGAGATCAAATTACTATAAATATACCCAAAAAAACAATACATATTGTGGATCTTTCCAACCAGCGGCTCGAATTTTTTTAGCCCTTGTTCAAATTTTGTTCTGGGGCAATTGATGTGGTGCGCGGTTCCCCACCAAAGAGATTTTGGAAATATACAACCATTTTGAAATTACACGCACGACCATTATTCCCTTTCTTGTGTGAATTGTAATGTGTTGTTGAAGTGTGTGGTCTTTGTTCATTTATTTTTTTAGACAGTTACTGGACCTCTGAATTCTCTCTTTATTTCTTTTAGTGTGAATTTGTTAAGTAAATAAACTTATTAATTTAATAGTGATTTTATTGATTAAAAATAAACCAAGGCTTATTATTATATGAATTTGTTGCATAATTTGTTAGGTTAGTTATGTTAAAATTTCTAATAACGTGTGAAGAATCTTCAAAAACCTCTACCCAAAAAAATTAAAAGGTCAAAATTATCTCTTGTTGAATTCAATTCTGATCCATAAGGTGGTTGCTATTAAGGTTTACGTAAATCTATTTGTGGTTTTGAATTTTTTGAGTAGAGATCATATCCGTTTCAAGTACTATAGATATTTTTTAATTGGATTGAAATTTTCTAGGGTATTTGGTCTGGTCTGGTAGATGTTTGGTCTGGTCTAATCTGATCAGGTCAGGTCTGGACTGAAAAATAGTCTAAGTAAAAACATCCTAATTAAATAGGGTTTTTGAGTAGTTTTGATTCTTCATCGGAGCATGTTTCTCAGCACCCCTTCTGGTTCCGCCACTGGATGCAGTTGTGGGAAGGAAGAGAAAAGATCGAGATGTACCTTGGAGAGCATAATTGGACAACCCCGAGACTCGTAGAGATCGAGGCTCTTCATTGGGTTTACAACTTTCTCAGTAAAACCATCCTGCCAGGTAGTAAACGAAGTTAAGATTTTAACCCACAACAGCAGGGAATATTTTAAGCCACAAAAACTATTTAATAGCATAGAGGAAAATGGAGTAGGGAAAAATGGCAGGGATGAAAAAGACCTCAAAGGACTCATTATCTGGTCTGAAGCTAGTTCAGCTTCAACGAACAAGCAATAAAGGTCTCATTATTTGCTCTGAAGCATTTGAGAAGCCATTTCCAGGAACGAGCTGATTGCAGAAGAAAAAATAAAGTAGTTACAGATGAATGTGTTATACCATTATCATTAAGCTAATTCCAGGAACAAGCGCATTTCATTCTTCATTGTGAATTTTTCTTAATCTTCTAATTCAAACAAAACTCCCTCTCAACCAGCACAGTGACTTCAAGTTTCATGTATGTCACGACACAAAAAAAGTAGCAAAGACAAACATGTGTTATCTCAAGCACATATTAATCATTCAGTGTTGTACCTCGTTTCACAATATCAAATTACAACTACTTCAGAAGTATTCACAATCATGAGAAGATACAAAACAATGTGCTAAACTTCTACCAGACTTGTAATTTATTTTGTAAGTATGAGCGATAGACATTGGAAAAATAGTCAACATGGCAGTTATCAACTAGAAACTAGAGAAATAGCTATTGAAATTTCGTTGAGACTTTTTTACAAACACTTAAAGCCATTGGAAAACTAAAAACTAAGGACACGTTTACTTCACGGGTTACTAAACGGTGCTTATTAAGACCCGTGTTAATAAGCGGCGCATAAAATAAGCAATGTTGTAAGATCATGTTTACTTCAAAGGTTTTAAAACACCGTTTAACATTAAAATGTCCAAAATAACCCTATACATATATAGACACACAAACATTTATGAACATAAGTAATATGTGGGGTCACCACGTACATGTACCCATACCCCTAACCGCTACCCTATACCTGTAACCCCCACCCCTACCCCCATTCCAAACCCTTGACCCCTACCCCTACCCTTACCACGACCTTACCCTCTAAACTACTCCCCTACAACCCACCCATACCCCTAACAACTACCCTACTTGTAGGATGAGGTTGAGGTCGGGGTGGGCTCGAGGTAGGGGAAGGTGGTAAAGGGGTCAAGGTAGGGAAGGTAAGGGGTAAGGTACGAGGGTGGGGGTGGGGTAGGGTGGGGTCGAGGTGGTAGGGGGTGGCGGTAGGATGGCGGTAATGTGCGGTTGGGATCGTGGTGGGGCTGAGGTAGGGCATGTGGTAGGGGGTGGGAGTAGGGGTCAGGGGTAGGGAAGGGGTAAAGGGTAAGGTACAAGGATGGAGGTGGTGGGCAGGGTGGGGTCGGGGTAGTAGGGTAGGGCGGGGTGGGTAGAGGGTAGCAGATAGAGGGGTAACAATAGGGTAAGAGCAAGGGGTAAGGGTAAATTCGGAAACTGAAAAAGCTTAAAGTGTCGTTTAAGCACCTCTTTCGGTTAGTAAACAACTTTTTAAGCAGCGTGCGGGTTTACTTCACCCTTCTTACTTTTTAAAGTCATAGATGCTTATCTTAAATTGAGTTCAATTGAAGAAACCTGAAAAACATCATTACCAATAAACAGTGCTATGCATTTAGTTTTTTAGGCTCTATGAGATGAAGTGAAATGTATTTCTTTTGAACATACTCTATTACATACATTCATATGTAAGCCACATTTTTAAAATATACATAACACTATTTATAGTTTTTCTTTGGTGATGATATTAGCACTACCAAAGTCATTGGCATTTTCTTGGCAATGTAACCGACAAGGCAGTTATCTTTTAGAAACTAAAGAAATAACAATTGAAAATTTCATTCAGGCATTTTTACAGACACTTAATAGACATTAGAATACTAAAATACTAAGAACTAATTTCGTCCATGGCCATCTCAAATTGAATGCAATTAAATAAATCCCAGAGAACAATATACATATATCGATCAAGATTTTGATTTTTTTTTAAAAAAAATAGCAGTTAAGAGAAGCATTTTTTACCTTGGGCGAAGGGGACAGAACAACTCGTACTAAAATTCAAGCAACGAGCGTCCATGGAACTTGGAAGAGAAGCTGAATTACCAGCAACATATGGTGGAGAAGCGGTGAAAGAGGGTGGAGCAGCGGTGAAAGACGGTGGAGCAGCGGCGGATGGTTGTGCGTAGCTAATCGGCGCTAAATCGTGGTCTTGGGCGATGGAGATGCAACAAATCGTACTAAATCTGAGTCTTGGGCGACGGAGATAGAGCAAGTCGTACCAACTACAAATCCATGGAATAGAAGCTGAAGCAGCGGCAACCTATTGTAGAGCAGCGGTGAAAGAAGGTGGAGCAGGGGCGGTGCGTTCTGAGGAGGGCCAAATTTCAGTGCAAGTCGATGTACCTAATGTACGAGCGAGCTGGTTAGAAACACGTAAAGGCCTATTTGGCCATAGACCGTTAGCTTTTAGTTTGTTGCATGTGATGTTTTTTTTTTGAATAATTTTATGTGATGTTTTAGTTGGTTGATTATACTCCATTATTTTATAGTGAGCATTTGATAAATTAATTATTTACAAATAGTTGTTTAAATGTAAAAAGACACATAAGGACATTAGCGTTTAATTTTATAATTAGCTATTGCTTGTAAAACGATAGTTGTCAAAATTATTTGCAGAATTCTCCGTATAAATTATTCATATATTAGAAATTGATAAATAAAATTGAATGAAAAATAAAATGAAAGAACACTAGTCTCTATACATACTAGGGGTGGGCAAACGGGTCTTGGAACCACGGTCCGGTCCGGGTAATGGTGGTTCGGGTCCAAAACGGGTCGGTTCCATTTTTTGTTGCCATAACACGGTCTGGGTAGGTCCGGGTATTTTTTTTAAGGACTCGGGCCGGTTCCAAAATAAAAAAATACCGGGTACCCGGCCCGCTATATACGAAGTATATATTGTATATTAATTTATTAATAGTTTTGTGATAATCGGTTTTGAAATAGTTTTGTTTTCCTTTGCTAGAGTAGGATTTTAAATTGAGTTGCAGTAACATCATTTTGCTTTCAAATTATTGATTAAATTTTACATAAATTTCTTATTATTTTTATTGTTATTGAATTATTCCTTTCTATGGAATTTAATTATTTGTTAAAAATGATTTTGTAATATTTGTTTCTATAATATTGGTCTTAAAATATATAAACTTTGATTACCACCCTCATGTATGTGTCAACTTTGGCTAATACTGAAAATTTGTTCTTAAAATATATAAATTGTGATTACCACCCTCATGTATGTATCACCTTAATATGTGATGTTAGACAACATTTTTAATTCAAATGTTAGAAAATATGTATTTTGGCTATGTTGCTGATTTTTGGAACTTTAATTGTTTGAAACTTATATACATGAAATTATGGAGTATTGGACTTGTCACTACATGTGCACCACTATGTTGTTATTTTAAAACTTGCTAATATACTATATTATTAATTATTGATTTTTGGAACTTTGTGAGTTTTTACTAATTTTAAGACATAGGAATAGAAACCGTAAAACCCGGACCGGACCGACCCGTTTCAAACGGGCCGGGTAAGGTCCGGTTCCTATTTTGAAAATTGCAATACCCGGACCGGACCGGACCGTACAATGGAACCGGCGGTTCCATTTTATTTTGCATTATCCACCCCGACCCGGCCTATGCCCAGCCCTAATACATACACACACCTGCGATTCGTACTTGCACATAACATGAGTTTGATTATCAACTATACGTAATTTGGAAAATTAAATAAATCTAGTGATGACTAATCTGAATCCAGTATTTTTCTATTCATAATTTTAACCCACCCAGGCAAGAACACATTTTTATTAATTATGAATATGACCCCGCATCAGCATATCATAACAGTTAATCATTAACCCATATTAAATGTGTGTTATACAATGCATATTTTGCACTAGTATATATTACGCAATATTTAAGTTTGATACAATTGAGTCTACTTATGTATGACTAAAATAATCAAACTCATGTTATGTGCAAGTAATATTTTGACTTAAGACTAAAATAAGTCCAAGTAAAACCATACTAAGGATGTTTTCTTTTGGACTGTTTTCAGTCCCAGACCAGACCAGACCAGACTTAAACAGACCAGACCAGACCAGACCAGACTTAAACAGACCAGACCAGACCAGACCAGACTTAAACAGACCAGACCAGACCAGACCAGACTTCCGTAGTTATAAAATACACAGAGACCAGACGTTTACCAGACCAGACCAGACCAGTTCAGACCAGACCAGACCAGACCAAACTTAAACAGACCAGACCAGACCAGACCAGACTTAAACAGACCAGACCAGACCAGACCAGCAAATTTCAGTCCAAAAGAAAACATCCTAAGCGCGTAAACCATGCACATGAAATCTCATACAATTAATTGAAAACCCCAACAACCTTAATTGAAACCCAGTGAAGAGTGGCATATACATTGGGAAGGTAATCTAGAAATCGCATACACATAAGGAATAAAATGTATCTATTGATCAAGTAATTAATTATTTTTTAAAGGAAATGGTTACCTGAGAGGCCGAGTAATCCGTTTATAAAGTAATTAACTATTTCCGTCTGTATCTATATATGCATACATTAAGCTATTCTTTGGGGGAGGGGATCATATATGACCACAATATCACCTGAATTAATGTGTCATTATTATCAATACTGTGCTTAGTGTTTACCATTTCCAGTGTTAATAAAATGATCAAAGTAAAAGATTCACAATTATATTAGCTTGACTCTTCCAACATGATAATAACAAATAATAACATAAATACACCACTCTAAATCATTATTTGGATTAAGTAGCTAGGGTTTAAATTGCCAGAAGCTGGAAAGTTGGAATACACATACAATTCCCAATGAGCTAAAACATAGACATGTTAAAGACATAAAAACAGGATAATTGTCCATCCATGCATGACTTATGTATGCGCATGTTTGGCATTGTATTTCGACAAACAGAAAGTGCCTTTAAAATGTACTTCTCAAGTTGAAAATGTTCTCACTTTTTGTTTTCTGTCCCTGGCTACAAAAGAACTCCAAACGTTTGCTCTTAATGTGTTGTAGGCTAGCTAGCTAGACTTTGGCCCAATAGTCAAAGTATTAATTTCCATCTTGGACCAAGACTGCCCCACTGAAAACATTGTAACAGAATAGTCATTAAGCCCAAAACTACTTTTGGACTCATATATAGGCCCTTTAGCCTGAATGAGATGAATAATCATTATGGTCTAAACTAATATATATACATCCAAATCTGATGGGCCTTTTTGTTTTAATTCACTTACATACCTTCTAGAAATTATTGTTTTGAATAAAAAAATGGGTTTTCTTTTTAATTTTGATTTTGATTTCCAGAGCCTGAGCTCCTGCCCTGATAAATGTGTATATAGACATTGTAGCCAGGTCAGTCAGATACATATCTATGTTATGATTCTATTTGATGAACTTTTAATAATAATCAATCATAAAAGTCAAATCAAGGAAATTGTGAGGTTGTGAATCATATGGGATATGCGATCTAATTGGAGGGACATGTTTCCACTAAAGTTGTTATTGGTATGATGACAATATAAAATGATATAAAAAAAATATAAAAAAATGGGAAAAAGGCAATTGGGGCGGGGCCGGGGTTTCCTACATACGAGAATGCCTGGCGGGTCCGAGGAGATGGTCGAGCCATTGGGAAATCCTACGCAGCAGCCTAAAAATGCAGGTTTCAACGCCCCTTCACGTGGCCATGGTGATCACCTTCACGTGGCCCAAGGGCCCCACAATGGCCCTTGTCATACAGTTTAAGGGGAGGAAGCATGGATCATGGTCATGGCCTATGGGTGTCTACCCTCTCAATAATACCCTTCTCTCTAATCATGCCAAAAAAAATCTGAATCACTCCTCTTTTGGGCGCACACCATATTTTTTTTCCTTATTTGGTAGGTTGCCTTGTAATTTTTCTATTTTTGTTACTTTTCTACTCCTCTCTAAACTTCACCAAAAATCCTTTTTTTCCAAAAAAAGAAGTCTCTCAGTCAACATTTTTATTATACGTGTGACATTTGATTTCGCGTGTTAAATATTAAAATAATTAACGTTGAAGTTTAATTAAATTGGCTGAAGTTACCGCAAAGAGTCATGCATTTTAGTTATTTTTCTTTAATTTTTTTCATAATATATATTTTAAATATAATTAATTCATAATTTAGCACAATCAATTGTTTCAGTGAGAACATCATTAATTTCAGCAAATTCATACGGTTCCGCCAATTTAAGTGTTATCAAATGGGCTATAAATTTCATTTTCCTTTTACAGCAAATATTTTGTGGTTCATAACATTTATCTCTCCTCTCTATATATTTATTAACGATAAAATTTTTACTTGCTTAATCTACGTCAAAAGTCAAAACATGTGTTATGTTGTTTTTGCTTGACTGGATTATTTTTGTCTGATCTGATCTGGTTTGATATGGTCTGATTTGATCTGGTTTGGTATGAACTGGTCTGCTCTAGCCTGATCCGATGAATGTCTGATCTCTATGTATTTTCCAATTATCAAAATCTGATCTAATTTGGTCTGAGTAGATATAATAGCAAATGGAATCAAGTAAAAACTTCCTAAATGGGAGAAGAGAATAACTTAGAAATTTAGTCCTTTTTTGTCTTCTAGCCATGCGATGGCCTAAGAACCAGCTGCTATCTATCTGCATGTGGGAATGGGACTGTGACTTTGAATTTGTACCTTCATTCCATACGTCATCCATTGCATCATCTCATACATCATCCCACACGTCATACAGTGGATCCCCACCACTGAATAAAACTTAATTACTCATATTTATTACTCCATATATTATATCTTAGAATAATGTGAGTATTTAATATGGTGCAGTGGAAACATAGTTTCTTTGGGGAGCATATTTAATATTTGTACCATCTTCAGTACCAGCAAAGTGGTTCACAAACCGTTATATGCTGTGTTTTGGTCACTCCTAATTACCTACTTAAGAAATAAATTGCAATGTTGAATACGTACGTCGGCGAATGCGTCATATTGGTAGGATCCCAGGGGTTCAGCACCATATCTAGATATATAAATACGTTGATACACATAATAAATAGACATTAAGTTGAAAAATAAACCTTACTACGGAGTATATATTTATGAATAAGAAATGGAGTAGTTACTACGAAGTGTTTTATAATATAATTAAGGAATAATTAATAAGGTTTCTTTCGGATCGGGCGCATAATTGATATCTGGAGTACCATTTTTAGTACCTGAAAAGTGCCAATGTGGTTAACAAAAACAGTTACTCCGTATGTTACTATGCCTTAAT